TTAAAAAAAAAAAAAAAAAAAAAAGAAGAGAAATACCAAAGTGAACATTTCTGAAGCAAATGTGTAGTTACCCCTGCCCCAGACTCTTTTCACACTTTCATTATTTGTGAATCAGTTTCCCTTTTGCTTTTGACTCATAACATAAGAAGATTAAGACCAGAGCCATCAGTGGTTAACAGTTTGTGAGTGAATTGTAAAGAAACAGTACTGATGAATTCTGAAAGATAAACCCACATTCCATTCCCCTTGCTTGGTTTTTGTGTATTGCATTGCAGTATTATCATAATATGATATTTTTTTAAGAGTCATGATCTATTCTATATATGGCAGATAAATGTGGTATTTATTCATTTTGTGTACTAGTTCATGCACTGATGTATACTAGCTTAAACTTGCAAATAACAAAGATGGTAATATTTTTTTAAAATTAAAAGTTGTGCTTATTTGTTTACAAAAATGATGCTGAATATATTCTTTATTTTGTGATACTGACTTTGTCTTCTTATTGTCTGTTACATTACTCATTTCTGTTTACTCTTTTCGAGATGAAAATAAGTACATACCAAAAAATAAACACAGCTTTGAAGATGAAAAAGCTCAAGTTTCTTATGGGATGTAAGTTTTATATCTTTATTAAAGCAGCCAACCTGACTTTATCATCTCACTGTAAGTTACATATAGATGATGATTATTACAGGTTTAAACTTGGTGTCTTTTCTGTGTACTCTCTTATTAAATTAATACCTATGTTCAAACATAAACTGAGGCAGAAAAAGTTCCCTTTTCAGTGATTCTCACTAAATTTTGTTTTGGTTTTATTTTCAACTATATTTAATAATTGAAAACTTCTTGTGGTTAGGATTAGTGTTTGAGATTATGGTGGAATCTAATTATTTTTAACTATTATTATTATTTTTTTGAGTTGGAGTCTCACCAAGTTGCCCAGGCTGGTCTCAAACCCCTGAGCTCAGGCAATCCTCTTGCCTTGGCCTCCCAAAGTACTGGTATTACAGGCTCGAGCCACTGTGCCTGGCTAATTTGAATTTTTAAAGCCTTAAAAAGTGAAATGTAAAGTCATACATTTTTCTCATAGCTTTCATAGTCTGTTAGTTGTGTTTCTTATTTTAGGTGGGCAACACCTAAATTGAAATGTATATCCTTTATAGTTGTAATGATATTTTTCAACTTCTTTAAAGAGCAGTTCATTTAACTAAGAAGAGAAAATAAAAAGAAACATAAAAGGGCAATATACATAGGGCATGTGAACTTGTTAGTTTCCTAACTGAAGTTGACCAAAACCCCCCCAAAGAACCATGTACTATGTTTGAGGAGGAGGCGGAGTCTGCTCATTTGTTTGCCCATTGTGAGGCTGTCCTGCACCTTTGTGCTTTTTGTAAAAGGGTGAAGGCCCCTGAATGGAGCCTTGTGCCCTACTTGATTTGAAATCTTTGCTGTTTATGGAAAGGAACCTGCAGGGCACCCAGCGGGAAGTCCGTGTGGCAAGTGGAAATCTAGGATCTGGAGGAAACATGGTGTTGGAGGGTGGCGATGAGAGGGTAATAATCATTCAGCCTTTGCTTTTGTCCCTCACAAGGCTAATTGTAACCCTCTGCTGGCAACCAGATGAAGAGCTACTCTTTTAAGTATCCTTGGGTTGTTTGAGCTTGCTCTTACCTCACCTCATTGTTGTCAGATAATAAGCAGGACAGCTGGGATTGAATTCTCTTACACAAGTATAATATTGATTGGATATGTTTCTATTAGAGGACAGATATCTGATTAAGGGTTTTCTCTTTTTTTGGAGATTTATTTAAGAGGAGGAAGGAGTTGCATGTGAAAATGCTGGGTTGTTAGCATGCTTCTTTATTTCAGAGCCTGTTTAAAGGCAGGTCTCACCAACACTCAGCTAGTTAAATCTAGTTTGTACAGCTTGTGTACTTTGTAGTACCAGCTATTGGTCCAAAGTTTCTTGGCTTATGAAGCCATGTAATTTTAAATGTATACTGTGTGAGAAAGGGGTGGGACAACAGAGGCTTTTTACAGGGTTTCAACTAATAAACATTAACTTTTAAGTAATATTTTTGGGATTTAATAGCAGTAGAACTTATATATGATGTTTCTTTAATGCTAACACATATTTGAACTGACAAGGAAAGGGAGAGAATTTTATTTTAAAGCAATATTTTCTTTTCTCTTTTTCCTCCAATGAGAAACTGGTTCTTCGACTTTCAGTGCCAATTGAGACACGCTATATTAAGTGTTTAACAATTCTGTCCTATTTGATTCAGGGGGAAATAAAGGTAGAATGTTTAGTAGCTGAGCGTACATAGATAAGTAGCTAGAGATCTGGTAGTCAGTAAATGTGGTATGGTGTAGTATGTGATGTGGGTTACATAATCATTCTGCATGGTGCTGAAACCATGAAGAATACCTCCTGGAAAAGTGTTTGACAGGGTGCCAGAAAGGCCATGTTACTAATAAGTTTATTGTCCCTATTCAGGTTTTTGGGGGGTATGTTTTGTTTCTCACTGTTGTTTTATTCTTTATTATAGTTCTTTCAAAATTATGCCACATGAACATATGGCATTCTGTACATGCTTGCTTACTGGTTGTAGAAATCCCAGGATTCTGTGAGCTTAATAAGAATTGCTAACAAAACAATTAACAGTTAATAACTGTTTTGTAGGTCATTGAGATGGCCTATTAAGATTCAATTGGTAAAAAGTTTTCATTAACTATTTTAATTTTTTGAGGTAATTTTTTTTTTTTTTTTGAGTTAGTGTCTCACTCTGTCACCCAGTCTGTAGTGCAGTGGCACACACGTTCCCGGCCACCACAGCCTCGACCTGCTGGCTCCAGCGATCCTTCCACCTCAACCTTCCAAGTAGCCAAAACTACAGGCGTGCGCTACCATGCCCGGGCTAATTTTTGATTTATTGTAAAGACGAGGTCTACACCAAGTTGTCCGGGTGGGTCTTGAACCTGCAGGTTCAGACAATCCACTCGCCTCAGCCTCCCAAAGTGCTGGGATTACAGGCTGAGCCACCGAGCCCAGCCAGTTTTGAGGTAATATTAAAGGCAACTTGACCAAAACTGGAATTAAACAATACAGCCAAAATCAGAATTAAGCAATACGAGGAACTTTTGGGTTGTTCTGGTTGTAAAGACAGTTGGACTGCAACTGACCTTCCTCCCCTGTTTTTATGGATAGTCATCTTCCTGTACAACACAAATATAGTATTCAGTTTGATGGTCTCAATCAATTTACTTGTTAATTTTATATATGTATATATATAATATATACAATAAACAATATATATATTTCTGCTATTGATGTTTTACTCCTTTTAAAAATTTTACTTCTGAATGTTAAAGAAATTATAGCTGTAACATATTTATATGTCTGCTAAAATGTAGTATCAGTTGGTAGTTTGTGATAACCTTTTGCTTCATTATTGGTTACTTAAAAAGCTTATAACTCACTGAGATACTTATGAAGTGCTTTGTATTTGTGTTTGTTTAGGACATGTCTCACGAAGGCTATGGAACTAGATCTCAACCTCCTCTGGCCCCCGGAAAACCTAACCATGAAGACTTGAACTTGATACAACAAGAAAGACCATCAAGTTTACCAGTAAGACATTAATGTGCTGATTTGGAAGTGTAATAAGTTGTAATGTAGTGATTGCTAGAAAGAGCTGTTGTTTTGTTTGTTTGTTCTGCTGAGTGTTGTGACAAGGGAGAGAAGTTTCTAGTTTTCAGGTGTATTTTGTGATTCATTAATTTTTTTAGAGCTTAATTCTTGGGAGTTCTGTAGTCTTGGGTAAGTCTGTTTCATCTGTACATAGCTCTGTTGCAGAGTCCAGACATCAGCTGGAAGGTTTTATTTAGTTGCTTGGTTTTGTGTGCAGGAAGGTATTGCTGTTGTATGATTGGGCTTTCCTTGGGTTGTTGTTTTTTGGTAGTGATACAGAACAGAGGTGTCTATACAAAAATTGAAACTTAAAAGGAACTTGCACTTTGTAAGAGATAGAAGTGATGAGAGAAAACATTTGATGGTAATTTGAATTTCTTCTGGGACTTTCTATTTATGTAATGAGAAATCACCTGAAAGGAAGTATTTTAGTTTAAAATTTGACAAAATGGCTTCTGAAGTATTTCCACCAGCAATAGTTTATGGCAGTTGGGGTTTCTACTGGTGAATAGTGGCTGTTGTGTGGGGTATTATTTTGATGCCCATAAACAGTTACTCCGTACTTAATTTGCCTTTTTTAATAATAGGGAACCTAACTTAAATGAAGTTTTTTTTATTAACTAAAATAATAATCTGGCCAAGTAAATATTTTTACATTTATTTTCTTGTTAAATATTTTGATTTGAAGAATTATGGTACTGCTTAATTTCTGTTAAGAAGGTTTTAAACAGGAATTCAGAACAGCTATGATTTTAATTGGAATTTCAACTGTTTTCATTAAGTAAGACTTATTATGTTACTTCTAAATGTTTGGGAACAAGCATTTGTAGTGAATGTTTTATATGACATGTAGCATGCATGCCATTCCTATCTTAATATGTATGCAGATTTAGAGACGGTAAGTGGTGGCCGCAGGATGTGCACTGTCTTTGAATCTGAAGGATGTGTTTATGAAACCCTGATTTTTACAGCTTTTATTTTATGATGGTAGAAGGTGAAATCTTACTATGGTCTTTAAAAAAAAAAATTTATGTTTTAAAGTTGTGTTGATGATGTTTTTATTGTTAGGTGTTTGGTTCTGAAGGTGGGGAAAAGTGGTGGATTCTGTTTTATTCTGTAAGCTTTTTTTCTTTAGCAGATAATTAACAGTTTGGTGAGCAGAGAGAGAGAGAGAGAGAGAAAGAGAGAGACTGTTGATAAATGCAGCATCGGCCAAATATTTGAAAATTGGCTTTTGTGCACATATGAAATTTAAATTGACTCATGGGAAACAGGTGGACAGTGAGTTCCACTTTTGTATATGCAGTTTTTTAGTGTTTTTGCATTGGCTGATGATTTTGTACTGTGACACAGGTTGCAAAATTTGTCATAAGTTAATACAGATTTTCTCCATAGGTATAAGAATAGTTTGCAGTGCACTGCTTTCTTTATATCCACTTAAAAACTTCAGCATCACTCACTAATGTATGCTTCTTGTCATGGATCTGCTAGGAATGGATGGTTGACATTCAGCTAACCCTATATATCATCAACAGGGATGGAATGATGTGGTGTTGTCCCCAAAAACTAACTGAAGAGTTTGCTCTGGAATGGGTGCTTCTTAAGTTGATTACTAGAAAAGTGAATGAAAGTATTTTAGGGAAGGGAAGCAATATATTCATCAGTAGTTTTTCTGAATTGTTCTATTAGTATTTCTTTGTATATGTATAATTACTATTTTCCTTAACATTTACTTTACTTTTTTCCCAGTGGTGTTCAAAGTTTCCCATAATATAAATTTTCTTATGGAGCTGTTAAAAAAAATGCTTTATTGGTATTTTGTATTTTTGTAACTCACAGATAAGTAGGATGCTGATTGATTCAGTAGTACTTTAAGCACATTTCAGTAATCTTTTTTTTTAAAGAGCAAAGTTTCTAGGTTTTATGTTTAAGTATATAGAAGTGTCAGCTGCTGAATAAAGGAAGAAACATAGGTCACCTAGCATACTTAAAACAGCCAATCCGTTGGAATGAAATTTGGCTTTATTTAAATGCAATTAAATGTGCCTTCTTTCGCATGTATAAAAATTATTATATGAGACAAATATATTTACTTATGTAGATACTTCATTCATAAATAGTTGTACACAGTTAAGGTTGTTATGGTTTCAGGGAATGATTTATTGGTATTCCGTTATGGCTCTAAGTGTTATTTTTATTAAATATTTTAGTCCTCTAACTTGGCTATGTTGATACTGTAGAGAATATAAAGTTTTATTTGTTATCACATCTGAATTTGCTATTGGATCCTTTGTAAATTTACTTTTATGGTATGCTTTTTCTTTTCAAGTGTCAGCAATATAAATTTGTATTTTTATTTAAGGTCAATTCATGCTACTTGTAATCTCTAGCTTTGTAATTTGGAACCAAGGATATTGTGAGTCTTATGCCGTTTAAAAAATAAATAGTGATTCTAACTTACAATTTACTAACTCTATCCATTATATATATGATGATAAGAAGAATGCTTCTCAAGTAATTAGTTCTTAATCTTTTTGCTTACCTGGAGATCGATTTTGTAACATTTTTCTATGTGTGATATTTTCTGTATGCCATAAATATATTTTTCTTTAGCATATTTGTTACATATTCTTTATTTTCATTACAAGAAATCAAGACATCCCCAGTATTCTTATGCTAGAGCTATAATTTGATACCTCAGTAATTTGTTCACTCACCATTGTTTGAACTTGTTTGTCTGTATTTGCATGTCATTAAATTCTTGGTAATCTTCAGTAGTGAATGCAGTTATGCTTTCCAGCTAAGTTAGACAGATCTTCAAGTCATGTACAGAAAACAAATGACTGATAAATTAATACTTTTTCTCATAGGGGTATGGCCAGTAGTATTTACTTTTTTCTTAGTGAACTCAGACCTAGGCTCTGAACAAATCTCCTTCAATATTGGCCACTTATTTCTCTACCTCTTAGTTGTACAACTTTTTCCCTCTTGAGATACATTAGCTTATATATTCTTGGTATTGCTGTTATTGATAAATCTTAGCATCAAGCATGTGACATAAAAATGAGCTTGCAGAGTTCTCTATCATTAGAATAAGATCACTTTCAGTTTGAGAATTTGAGCCCATTGCAGTTTTTTCTACGTCCAATATTGGTATGAAATGAACGCAGCTTTTAAGTAAAAGCCACAGTCGAAGGTCTTCTCACATGCTGAACTTATTTACTCTCTCACTTCAAAAACATTGACTATGCCTCAGTTTACATTCTAAGATAACACTCAAATATGATATAATACACTTTTTGTTTATTTAGTGCTTTGTTAAATTTTCACCTCTTGTGGCATTTACTATATATCCTTTTATTACAGTTTTTTTTTTTTTAAGTGTTTTGGCTCCCCTGCTAGACTAGGAGCTTTTCATGGTATTTATTATATTTTATCCAGTAAATATTTTCCTCAAATAATTTACACAGAAACACTTTTAATAAATTCTTCCCTCAGTTTCAGAATTTTCTTTTAATTGCTAAGGGGTCTGTGGCAGGGAATTGAATTGATACCAGGAGCGCTGCCTGTGTTCTACATATGCTAAAATGCTAATTGATTAAGTGAGTGTGATGTGGGTATTAGCAGGGTGATGTTATTCTTAAAACTTTTTTTTTTTAATTTACCAAATGACATTTGAATTTTACCTTGGTAACCTTAAAAGCTGCAAGAAAATAAATGAGCGCTTTGGATAATTAAGCCAAAAATAGCACGAAGACATTCTTTTCTTAGTAATATGTTTTACTTGTAAAAATTAATTGACAGAAACGAATCTGAATTTCATTAATTATAGTACAGATAGATATTTTGTTAATAAAATATTTATAAACATGTATTAGAGGAAATAAACAAAAAAGGGGAAAGTTTTATTTTCTTTCTTGTTCAGCAGAATAGTGCTTTTCCTTCCAGGGATCTGAAGAGTTGTTAATGTTCCTCAGTTTAGAAATAATTAATTTGTTTTATTCTTCAGAGAGACATGCCCCTAGTTTTGTATTTCAGATAGGAGGTTCGTTATTCTGTTTACCTAAGATATAGAATACAATCAGCTTGGCCCACTCATAATATAACGACATTTAAGAATAGATTGCTTTGTTAGGACTTTGTAAAATATGTCTATAAATATTGGCTGTTTTGGAAGGCTCATCGGGTCATTAAAAACCTCTTTCTGACCCTTTCTTCCTTAAATAGGAAATATCTAAGGAGGCTGACATGAAAAGGGTTTGATCTTTCTGAGTTAAGTAAAATACCCTAAATGTGTTGAATAGTGCTTATGGCACTTTTGTTGAGTTTGTAATTAGAAGAAAATATTGGGGTTTAGATAAAACATATGTTTTTTGGCTCTTTGAGAAAGGAAGGAGGTAGTAAATGCTGGCTGTTCTTTGAAATACAGGGTGTTAAACAGGATATTGGAAGCCTGAAAGAGAATGGTTGGAAAACTGTTATTACCAAGAATATTCTTTGGAGCTTGGGCATTAACAACAAAGCATATAATGTTCTTCCTTTAAGGAAAGAAGAAAACTCAGTTTGTTTTGGTTTTGTTTTTTAATCTTTAATGACATTTATGTTGGTTAGGAGTAAGAGATCATGTACTTTAGCAGTACATTTGAATATTGATGATACATTAATAGGGACATTCTAAGTGTATAGATTTGATAATATAATGAATAATTGGATTCTACTAGGGAAAGCTTTTTAACTGGGTTCAGCTTTTTACCAAGCTCTCAGTCTAACCCGCCTGGAAATACAAGTTGTTAACACTATCTTAACCTGTTAGTTGGCAGGTTTTGTAAAAGTTAGCATCTATCAGGTAAGAGTTAGATGTGTGGCTGCTGAACGAATGAAAACTTCTGAAATGTTTTAAAATTTGAGCTTGATTTAGATGGTTGTCATTAAGAGGTTAA